CTCGAGGGTGGCTGCTCTTATGGGAACACCTGGTCTCCCAGGACACTTTTCCAGCCCACCTCCCCTACCCACTTGGGCTTTTGGACCTGTGTAATCAAATTAGTTCTGACACTCCCAGTACTTAGGCTTCGCCTTTTCAGACTCTCAGTCCCAGCTCCACCACCCACGGACACCCTCCTCTCCCAGGCCCCTTGGTGGCTTACTTTCCCTATTGTCCTTTATACTTTCAGATCTCACCTTTCTGCCCCTTAGAGCCTCTATTTTCTCTGCAAGCTATCTTGATGGGATTCCTAAGTGTCAGGGTGTGGGGTCACATCCCAGGGCTCGATCTTTCCTTTTTGAAGCCTGCTTAGTGAAGGTTGGACTCAGGTGGATACTCTTCATGATGGACATGGAGCCCCAAGTAGGTAGTGAGGAATGAGATTGATTAGAACACAAAGGCATACTCCCAGCGGGCCCTTAAAGTTGGGAGAAGCACCGAGTTGGGGGGACTCGGGGAACTTTAACCCCCTTGGACACAGTGCAAAAGTCTTGCATGCAGCTCACTAGCTGGAAGCCCTCCGTTCCTTGCTAGCAGTCCAGAGGTCACACTTGGCCTTGCCACAGTGCCCCATGCCGGTGTGACTGACTGAGAAAGGTGGTATTTAGTGACCCAAAGTTACTGTTAGCGGGTGGAGGCCCCAACCCATCCCAAACTGGTGTTTTAGTCTTTTAAATATTAGCTTTATTGTTGCATACTTTGCATATCACAGCATTTATAAGCATTTTTGAGTTTTAACAAATTTTCAGGGATTGCTTTTTTTGTTGTTGTTTGTTCGAATTTATTTTTTTTTCCAGACAGGGTTTCTCTGTGTAGCCTTGGCTGTCCTGGAACTTGCTCTTTAGACCAGGCTGGCCTCGAACTCACAGAGCTCCTGCCTCTGCCTCCCGAGTGCTGGGATTAAAGGTGTCCCCCACCACCCAGCTCAAGGGTAGTTCTTTATCTGGAAGCAGCTGTAGTGGCTCCCTGATCTGAACTGCAGGGCAAGCATGTGAAGTGTTCATGTATTTGCTGTTTCTCTTCTTTTCTTTTTTTGGTTTTTCGAGACAGGGTTTCTCTGTGGGACTCCCTAGTACCCCTGTACCTGGACAGACTATTCTCTAACAGCACAGGCCACCAGGACCCCTATTATTCTTTCCTGTTTGCTCGTCATCGTGGGGCAGGGCTTGGTTCTCAGTACCTCTGCACACTTGAGGGCTGCCGGGAGCCTGAAAAGGTCTATGCAGTGATTAGAGGGCGGTGTGCATGCACATCCAGTCTGACTGGCTCCCGGGCCGCAGCACATTGGATGCTTTCCCTCAGAGTCCTCTAGGAATCCCCGGACTGTGACTCCTCCAGCACCCACAAAGGAGTAGCCGACTGGGTTGCACCATGTTAATAGCAGCAGTATGAGAAAGCCTTCTTCCAAGAAGGAAGTGCTTCCTGCCTGTCATCTCACTACTATTTTGGGAGTTGGTTTGGGTTTCCTTCTTGACAGTGGGATGTCAGGCTCCCGCTTCCCATGTGGTTATTACATAAATTGTGAGTGTGGATTGGCAGGTGTATTCCATGGGAAGCTGTGAGCTTGTACAAGCATGAACAAGATAACCTGGAGAAAAAAACAAAAATCTAAAAAAAAAAATTGCCCATCAGTCCTACAGATTATGCCAAAGATGGTGTGTGTGTAACTTCAAGGCTTATGATGGACTTTTTCCTCCCTGCCTCCTTTACAGAGATGGTGAAGCCTCCATCTGGATGCCACACTGGGCATCCATCACATCATTGTATGGTGTTTACCCAGCTACTATCCGTAGAGGAGGAGACCCAATGGGTGCTGTCTGTGCCTAGGATCTGGGACCCGGGTGGACAGTGTAGTTGGTATTTGGGGCAGGTTGTAATTTAGGTGGATGGGAACTGGAAACTTGAGCACAAGAAAATCAAGGATTTGGGATTTGGACAGCTGGCACATGACCCAGAGTTGGGGTGCTCTGTTTAGAGCAGAGGGAATGGGTTGGGGGAGCAAGTGAGCTTGTGACTGGCTGGGCCAGTTGTCACAAAAAGGGATTTTGTGCTGTGTGCCACCGTGTGCAAGCACTGGCTGGGCTGGCTCTCTAGTTATTGATGTGGCTGTAGCCCTCAGTGGAGCAGTAGCAGCCAGGAGGAGAAAGGTATAGGAGCTCCCACCCACCCCCACCTCCCCACCCCCACCTTCTAACTCTGTTCTCCTTGCCTTCTGACAGCCAGGCCCTGGGAGTAAGGCATTAGCAATATGAGGATGGTACAGACCTGTAAGACCTGGTGGGAGATGGGAAGGGAAGACCGATGGAGTTGGGGTAGCTTTAACTTTCATGACCAGAGCTGGGAAGCCACTGAGGTTCTGAACTGAGTAGAGGCCCAGAATTCATGCTGGCTCCAGGAGGCCACGGTGGCAGCAGGGAAGCTCTGCAGTCAGAGCTGAAGATGTCCATTTGTTATGTTTGAGTGTTGTAGACCTCACAGGGCCCTGGTGCTCCATTCATGGAGAAGAAGCAGGAAAAGAGATTGCTGAGGAGCACATCTGGGAGAAGGATAGAGGGAAGGTTAAAGCACTACTGTGTGTTGTGGCCTTTTTAAAATTAAAACCTTTTTTACTTAGCCAGGTAGTGGTGGTACACACCTTTAATCCCAACACTGGCGAGGCAGAGACAGGCCTATCTCTGTGAGTTTGAGATCATCCTGGTCTACAGAGTGAGTTCCAGGACAGCCAAGGCTACACAGAGAAACCCCAGCTTTTAGTTAGTTATTAAATTTTTACCTTATGTGCATTAGTGTTTATCTGTGCACCACATGTGTACAGTGTCTGCAGAGGCCAGATGAGGAGGGTATTGGATCCCCTGGAACTGGAGTTACAGGTGGGTTGTTAATTACCATTGTGGATGCTGAGAACCAAACTCAGGTCCTCTGGAAGAGCAGCAGGTGCTCCTAACTGCTGAGCCATCTCTCCAGCCCTACACTTTGTTAATTGAATTAATTCGTTGTTTGACAATTTGTTTATATTTTAAGTGTCTTCTGACTCCTGGTGCTCCACACACGGCTCAGGCAGTACTCCTATAAAACCTCTCCTACATTTATGTCTTTCTGGTTGTTTTGTGCCAGCTGGGTTTTTGTTTTATTTGTTTTTGACATGTTATCTCACTGAGTCGCTCAGGCTCTAGTGAATTTCCTCCCACAGAGTAGAAGCACTTGTGATGCAAGGAGATCATCTGCCTCAGAAAGGGACAGAATCAGGTTTGTCTTCCTGCTCTGGGCTATCCACCCTGTTGGGTGCTTAGATTAGATGTAGGCTAAACATGCTCTGTGAACTTGGATGGAGGAGTCATTAAAGTGTCTATGCAGAAGAATTGAGTGAATGTGGGCGTGTGAGCTGTGCTCTGCGGTTAGGGACACCCAGCAGCCTTGTCTTGGTGCTCCATGCAGGAGCTTTCATCTCTGCCCTGCCAGGTCCCCTTCAGGAGTTGCAGCCTTAGACATCAATGTGCTCATTTTGTAAAGGGTACCCCATGAGTGTGTGGGGTCACTGTGGGGTCATTGTGGTGCTTAGTTCCCAGGAGTGAATGGCGGGGGTGGGAGGGGGTGGAGACATGCTGTTTGTAATGCAGTAGTTATATGTTCTTGTCCTAGATCTCAAGTGCTTTATGCTTGGGCTCACTATTAAGTTACCTCTTTCTAGGTGTACGGATGAAATCTCTGTCCTCTTTGAGACATATAGACAGTACAGAGGAGTTCCATGCAAGCTCTGCATGCTATTGGGCTTTGTCTAGTAGGACTCTTGCTTGAGGACCCAACACCCTCAGCCAAGGGCTGGGTCACAGAAACCAGTTGGCATCTGAAAAACATTTGTTGAATGAGAAGAAAGTGGCAGGTGACAGCTGTTGGTACATTGTGAATGGCACAGGATTGTTGTAATATGTGTAATCAGAGAGAGGTGTGCTTGAGAGGATAGTAAGCTGCTTGTAAGCAACAGTCATCTTTATAATGAATGCTGCTTTGAAAGGTCGTGCGTGCTGCTGTGTATCTAGGCATATCCTGGTGGTGCCTGGGTCTTTCCGTGATCTCTTGGGACTCTGAGCATCTGATTACCAGTGGAGGCAAGTGACATTGTGTTTAGGGCTGGAGTGTTTGGGAGCAACAGGAAGCAGTGGGGTCAGAGCATAGTCAATGTAGGAGTTGTGCAGTTGTCTTTCTTCTGAGTGTGGCTCAACACTGTGGGTGATGGTGTTTGGTATAGTTGTGAAAGAGAACAGAGGGCAGGGTGTCCATCAGAGGAGGCAGAATTGGAAGGATTGGCCAAGGGTTGGGCAAGGAGTGGACTCAGAACCTGTGGGCCTGATGAATCCCTGGTGAGCAGCAAGTAGCCCTAAGGGCATTGGGCAGGGAAGAAAAAGGGGTCCTTGGCAGACTGGCCAGTCACTCATGTTGCAGGCCATTAGACCTGGACCAAGGGACACATGCTGTAGCACTAGACCCACTCTCTGTCTTTCTCACTGTAGCCTCCACCAGTGCTTGACTGCTGGGTGGGGCCTTGTCCATGCCAGGATGTGAGTGCCCCAAGATTTAGAGGGGCACCAAGACAGCAGGGCAGGCAAGTGAGTGGGG